TTTTGATGTGTTCAGATCTACCATAAGCCAACACAGTTACTTGAATACCCAAAATGGTTACATGCCCAAAATTAGCAAGCCAAGAAAGGAATGGGGCAGAAACAAAACATATATCAAAGCAATAAATGACTGGCTCTCGCTGCTAAGTGAGCTTAAAGAACTTATGCCAAAAAGGATTTTTAAAAACAAACTGAAACAGCTTTTACTTAATAACCATTTTTAACCTTAGTTAATTGTAGTATTTTTAATCCAAGTTTTAGTTTTAAACCTTACACGTAGTTTTAGTCTTAAGTTTTTAGCCGGCTTTTATTACTTCTGTATTTTAGACAATAAATGTATATTTTAATAGACCTTTATTTTTTAGAGGACCTTCCTGAAAACCACATCTAGCAGATTGGAGGCCTCCTCATAATATATTAATTTATTATTTTTATTGTCATTGTCATTGTCATTGTTATTGTTATTGTTATAAAATGATATTACTGTAAAATACATTGTCGGATAATATCTTTTTAGAAAANAGTTGCACATAAAAATTATAATACAAAACATTTGAATGTGCAGGACAAAATGGTGGTCCCATTACATGCAAGGCATTTTAGTCATTGGTGTTGTCTTGTGCAAGACGCAATGAAAGGAGACCCCAAACATTTTGATGTGTTCAGATCTACCGTAAGCCAACACAGTTACTCGAATACCCAAAATGGTTACATGCCCAAAATTAGCAAGCCAAGAATGGAATGGGGCAGAAACAAAACATATATTAAAGCAATAAATGACTGGCTCTCGCTGCTAAGTGAGCTTAAAGAACTTATGCCAAAAAGGATTTTTAAAAACAAACTGAAACAGCTTTTAGTTAGTAACCATTTTTAACCTTAGTTAATTGTAGTATTTTTAATCCAAGTTTTAGTTTTAAACCTTACATGTAGTTTTAGTCTTACGTTTTTAGCCGGCTTTTATTACTTATGTATTTTAGACAATGTATATTTTAACAGACCTTTATCTTTTAGAGGACCCTCCTGAAAACCACCTCTAGCTGATTGGAGGCCTCCTCATAATATATTAATTTATTATTTTTATTATTATTGTCATTGGCATTGTCATTGTCATTGTTATTGTTATTGTTATAAAATGATATTACTGTAAAATACATTGTTGGATAATATCTTTTAAAAAAATTATTAAAAATAACTAATAGATAAAAATAAATTAGAGATAGTAAAAAAGTTCCTTTAAACAAGAAAGTCTTAATAAGATATTTATAAACAAGATGGGTGCTTATTTTGC